AAGGAACAGCTGCCCAAATCTGCCATCTCGCCTCGTCGCCTCAAAGTTTTCACACCAATGAAGTGTCTCCTATTGCCATGAGCTTGGCACAAACACAAGAAAGAACCCCTACCATAATCAGAACGTCGGGTTACATTTCTACCAACACACTTCCTATATCTGTTGCGGGCTTCTAGGACTTCACACCAACGAGACTTGGTTGCAACCCACCAATGCCTAGAGCAATCCCTAACTACGGAAACCACATACCTATTACCTCCTAATAATGCTCCCTTGGAAGGCTCCCGAATGCCTGAATGAACACCCTTCAGAAGACCCCTCGAATGATGGATAGAAGTGCCAAACTCCACATCGATCTTCTTGCTCATACCAATGGGTTCATAGGACTTCAAACTGCAGGTCAAAGCACTCCTTAACAACCTATGCACGACATTACCAATCAAATAACCCAGCATCAAACAACGCCACAGTCTAGCCGAAACTGATGAAGTCGTCATCTCCCAATCAATCGCCGTGCTTCCGAGCAAATAATACAAATTGCTCCTTCTGATGCCCTTCATCACAATCATGGACCCCAATGTGACCTTCAAACGTGCATCCACCAAGGTCACTTTATAACCAGATGCCACCAAAGCTCCTAGTGAAATGATGTTCTTCGACAACTGTGGAACGAACCTCACTTCTTCCAACTCCCACACCATCCCGTCACTCATCTTAATCCGAACGGTACCAATACCACCAATAGAGCATGCATGTCCATTACCCATGAGCACAACATCCTCTCTTTCCAACTTCTGAAAGCTGGAGAACCAATCCTTCCTAGGACAAACGTGGTATGAAGCACCCGAATCCAACATCCACTCTGTAGAGTTGGCAACACAAACTGACTGTAGTGCAGACAACGAATAGCCCGAAGAATCCGAATCTGAATTGTTGCCACTAGTCTTGACAACATTCAAAGAATCCGAATCTGAATTGTTGCCACTAGTCTTGACAACATTCACCTCTGAAGCTTGTACAGCTTTCCCCTTATTCTTCTCGGCTCGATCTAACTTTGGCCATTCGGCTTTCCAATGTTCATCCTCTTTACAAAAAGCACACTGATTCCTACGAATCCCACGATGAGCACCTCTAGACTGCGACCTCCTGCTTCGGTTTGAACCACGACCATGAACTACTAATGCATCTCTCGATGCCTTCTCGAAGGACTCATCAACACTCTTCCTCAACTCATAATTTACCAACGCTGAGGTCACCTCCTTGTAACTAACAGTAGTTCTTCCATTAATCATAGTTAGAACAAAAGTACCATAATCATCCTCGGGCAACGAACATAAAAGTAGCATCGCCTTGTCTTCATTCTCAACCATGATATCCACATTAGTCATGTCTGAAAGTAGCTTTGTGAAGTTGTTAATATGCTCCCTAATGGAAACTCCCATCTTCATCTTGAACTGGTAAAACCTCTTCTTCAAGTGAAGCCGATTCTCAATGCTCTTAGTAAGATACTTTTCATTGAGTGTTTCCCACATCTTCTTCGTCGACGTCTCGTTCATCACGTCATAAATAAGATCCGGCGTCAAGCATGACCGAATAACTCCACACGCCCTACTATTCATCTTCTTCCAACCCTTAGCTTCCATATCGACAGGTTTCTCTTGTAACTCAAGAGTCTCCTCCAAATTCTGAGCGTCCAAGGCGTCCATCACCTGACACCTCCACAATCCGAAATTAATCTTGCCGTCGAACTTCGGAACATCAATCTTCATGTTATTGATGCTCAAACTATGTATCGTCTTCGTAAGAGACGATCCTGATGTGCTTGTTTCACCTATGTTGTCGATCTAATCTTCAAATAGGAATCCTTCAGCGAATCCTTCAAACAAGCTCCCAAGTCTAACCCGGAGCTCTGATACCACTTGTTGTGCGCAGCGAAAATTTTGGCAGCATCTCCGGTGCACAAGGTGCACAACAAGAGATTAGATCACAATGAAATTCTCGTTTCTCAAAGGAAACAAGAACCAAAAGCTAGATATCTCATCAAAGTGAGATATCAGCTCTTCCTCTCGTCAGCTCTAGGACTGCGCGTCGAGGGAACCTACAAGCTATTACAAATCACAGCAAGAATACAAATTTTTACGTGGTTCGGCAAACTGCCTACGTCCACGGGGCAAGGAGGGGGGAGATCTACTAATAGAGGGAGAGAATACAACTAGGGTTTATAATCACTCAATCTAAACCCTCACACAAACTCTCAAATCCCTCATACAAATACTCTCTCAAAGGAGGATGCTAAAACCCTAAAAGACAGCACAAACTCTAGGGAACAAATTGCACGCGTCTGACTTGCACAGCCGCTGCACCTTCTTATTTTTCATCTGCTTCGATCGCTGCCACGAATCAGCCGCTGTTTTATTTTTCCACGCTCAAAAAACAGCCGCTACCACTTTTCCGTGCTCCTCAGCCTTTCCTTCGCACTCGCTTGCACATAGAAACCCTAAGAAAAACTAGGATTTATAGGTTCGTGGGTGTGAAAACGCGTCGGGTAGCAACCAGCGGTTAAAAACCGCATCCACATGAAACTAACGCTTCCACACACATGGGTGGGTCCCTATGCTGCTGAACTCATTGCCATGATCAAAATGAAAAACAAAAACGCGTAGCCCCCATGTCACACATCTCTGGCTAACTGCTACCCAATCGTGACTAATAGTTTCGATATAGCAAATATAAAAGAGGGAATAATTTCAAAACACTCATTAAATATTTTTGTGAGCTAATTTCAAAATATGAATTTGGAGAACTCATATCGAAAGGACCCTTGGGCCTGTTTGTTTGCACGGAAGTAATTGTGAAGTAACTGAAGTAAAAGAAGTAGAGGCTACTTCTACTACTTCCAAGCACAAAAGTGTGTTTGGTTCCCTGAAAAGCTACTTCCAATACTTCCCTAAATGCTTATGTGGCGCCTACGTGTCATCCTTACTTCCAAAATATTTTTTCCCCTAAATGCTTATGTGGCGCCTACGTGTCATCCTTACTTCCAAAATATTTTTTCAATCCTCAATACTCAGAAGTAGCTCGGAAGTAGTTGAAATGCATATTAATTATGACATAAATAATTTTTTATTAATATTTCCTTTATTAGTCACTTCTAACATTAATAAAATTATTTCCTAATAATATTTCCAAATGTTATCCAAACAAAAAAAGTAAATAAAGAGGAAGAAGTTCTACTTCCATTACTTCTAAAAATATATGAAACAAACAAAAAAATGCTATTTCCACTACTTCCTACTTCATAGCTTTGAAAGTTACTTCTATAACCTACTTCTTACTTCTAATACTTACATTATCCAAACGGGCCCTTAATAGCTTTGAAAGTTACTTCTATAACCTACTTCTTACTTCTAATACTTACATTATCCAAACGGGCCCTTAAAATCCCTGTAAAAAGGATGAAAACAAGGCGGTACCAACATTTACGGGGCCAGTCAGGGAACTCAGCCCACAACCTGAGAGGGCCCAACCTATATTTACCGTGGATATTAGGAACTAGGGTGCCAAATGGTTCGGTTTTATCCGAACCGATCTGCATCCGTATCCGAACGGATGCGTATATGGTAAGCTATTTTTATAGGGATCCGGTTTCGGTTTTTTTTCAGTTTCGCATATGACGGTTGTGGATATGGATATCCGCAATTTAATAAATATAAGCATTCGGGTCGTATCCAAAGTTCCAAACCCGTAATTGCTAACCAACCCAAAACACAACTACAAAAGTAACAAAACTCTAGCCTCCATTGAGTCCACTCCAGCCTCCTACTCAATTTCTATAACCCGACGTCCGCGGACCCGCCGCCCGCGTCGTCTTCGCCACTTCGCTCGTGTCGTCTCGGCCATTCGTCTGTCTCGTCAGTTCGCAAGCGTCGTCTTCACCATCCGCGTCGTCTTCGCCATCCGCGTCGTCTTTGCCAAATTCGTCTGCGCGTCTCTCGGCCAGTTTGCCCGCCTCGTCCAGTTCGTCCCCTCGTCTCGCCGCACGCCGTCAGTTTCTCCGCCGCGGATTAGCCGCCCACCCTCATCATCGGCAAAGCCGACTTCGCGTACGCCGGCAGATCGTCGGCGCTCTCGGTCGTGCTTCACGGGGCGGCGTTGTTGCTCAGGATTGGCAAGGACTGGGATTGGTTTGTGAATTTGGATGTGAAGGATTATCCATTGGTTACTCAAGGAGGTAAGCTTCTAGGGTTTTCACATATAATATCTTTTAAATGCATTATTTTTTACAAATTGCTTGATCCTATTTGAGCCGACTGCATTTCTGTTCAACGATTGAAGGTCTGGTTTTCACGGTTGTGGTTAGATGTATGTGGAAATATTGCTGTGTATCACACATTATTAGTCAGTGTTTTGATAAGTAGTTATAATGCATTTTGATGTTAGTGAGAAATGAGAATTTTGGATCGAGGTTTTAATTGGTGGGTGAAACAAATATAAGGTATTAGAGCCTTAGTTCTTAGTTCTGGAAAGTTTTGATTTTTCTTATTAAAAATTGCATTTTGATCTACGTGGATCTATACAAATTATTAATTAGCTTGTGCATGGGCATTTTGAGTGGCATTTGTGACAATCTTTCCATATTGACAAGGACGCATCCCCCATACATTTATGCCTCCATACATTTATGCAATGAGAAGCCTACAACCACATACATTTATCTATTTGGTTGTAATTTATACATAGGTGTACTAATTCATATTCGATTCGTATCCATTTGTAGAATATTCGTTTCATATCTGTGATCGTATCCGATCCGATTCTCAAATATCTGAACCGTATCCATTTCCGATGAGTATAGATATGATTAAGATTTTTTTTACCGAAGATAATCTGTATTCGTATTCGTATTCGTATTTGTATTAATTTCCAGAAAGCGGATATGGATTCGGTAAGTGCCGCATCCGAACCGTATCCGCTGCGGTAACACTTGGGAACACCTTGTTTTCATCACTCTCTCTATCTCCTCTCTCGCTCGCCTGGACGTATACAAATGGAACTAAAATTGAATTTCGCGGACAAAATTAGGGTTTAGGTTTTACATCAAACGCCGACAGCGAGACGAGGAGGAGGAGGAGGCGTCGTCGACTTTCGGCCATGGAGCCACTGCACAAATTACCCTCGAGCACAGGTATCCAGGTTCTTTGCTCAACCCTTCAAGAATTTCTTTAAAATTGTTGTGATTGAAATAACAAAGGTGAAAAAAAATCGATTTCTATGAACTAGGGCATATTTGGTTGTGCTGATGTACTGCTTGTGGCGGCTTATTTTTTATTGTAATTCCAGGAAGGTAGCATGCGCGATTTGTTCTTCATAATCTAGGATGCATTATGAAATTGATCAATTTGTTTCATGGCAAACGCAAGTTAAGATGATTTCGACGCATGAATCTTAGAACATGAGAGGATTGCTGTGCATAAATTAATTTTGATATTGCTTCAGATTGGTTCTTTACTCTTTGACTAGTCTTCTGGTGCACGCGATGCGTGCTTGGATTTTCGTGAGAGATTCAAAGAGTACCCCGGTCTCTGTGAAGGCCTAAATTTCTATTTTGGTACAAATCCATAGACAACAGATAAAGATACAATGTGAAGAAACATTGTCTAGGAACTCATGAAGTTCAGATGAAGAATAAGTCTTTGTCGGAGAGGTGAGGCACGTATCTGGGATTCGGAAATGGAGTTCATGAGGGGAGATTGAGAAAGAATAAGTCTGTTTGGGTTTTTAGATGATACTTTAGGTTAGGAACTAGGGGTGCATTCGGTTCGGATATGGCTCGGATGTGATAATTACCATATCCATCTCTTCTTACCCATCTCAGATATGGATACGGATACATATATATATTGGTAAGGAAAATTCATATCCATATCCGCTAAAATCGGAGACGGATATAGATATACATGTGGATATATAAGCGGGGATATGCATGTGGATACAAAACAAACACGAGAAAACTAGATAGTATTGAAAAATATAGTTTATATGATACAAAAGAGTTCATTAATATGTTCATTATATCTGAAAAGCTAAGATTAAACATCATGATCATCAAAATTAACCTCAAATCCATAATGTAAATATTAAAAGTATCGTAATAGTATGGCTAATGTGTTTTTGAATATTACAGATACGGATTTGGATATTTCACTACAAACAATATATGTAACCATATCCTATCAGTTATAGATTTGAGTAACCATATCCATAACCTAACGGATATGGTTACAGATATTTTCTCAGATACGGATGTGGTTTAGCACCCCTATTAGGAATGTAAGGGAAGCAGTTATTAGGCTTTGGGATAAGGATGGAACCGTGGAAACAGTTATCTTTCTTTTATGGTTTTCCAACTTTACCCTTATGTAACCATTAAATTATTGTAATTTGTATGAATATTAATTGGGATTTTTTTAAATCGCGAAACACTGGGGTATAACATCAAAAGATTGGACCGAAAGGCAAATCTCTTAATAATAGCAGTAGATCATAGATGTTTCATAGATAATAGGTAATAGATAATAGAAGTGATGATGTTCACAATTTATAATGTAATTAGAAAGGTGTGCATCACCACTAGGCTATCTTATGGTAGCTCATTTATCAAGATGAGTTGTCACTTCATGCCCATTATTTTATAAACACACGCATATCGTTATCATAGAATGTTTCTCTGCTTAGTCTAGAATTTTGTGTCCGCCCTTGCCTCATATGCATTACCATTAATTAGATAGATAATAGATGCTTCATAGCATATTATCTCATGTTTTCTATTTAGCCTTTGGATTGAGCACTTTTATACTGATCCACCTACCTGTTTCTGTGCAAGTCTGACATAACTAGCTTGTGAGGGTGCTGTTCTGTACAACTCTGACATAACTAACTTGTGAGGGTCCTGAGGAATTTAGTTGGCTAATTTTACTGCTTTTTTTGTTAAGTCTATTTTATTTGTACTCAAGGATTTTGAGAGCACGTGTAACTTATTCCTTTGCAATACTAGAACTTATCATAATGTTAAAACATGACCTTGGTGCATCATTTTTTTAATAAATCATGAGAGTTTCAAAACGTACTGTCATAAGTTAAGTCAATTGTGGAATCTACATCTAGCTTTTTAGTGCATATTGAGGTAGGGGAGGACATAGGATTCTAGTTTAGGTAGGGAAACGTTCTATGATATGCACGTGTTTAGAAAATAATGGGCATGAAATGATAACTCATCTTGCTAAATGAGCTATTGTAAGATAATCTAGTGGTGATGCACACCCTTCTAATTACATTAGAAATTGTGGACCTCATCTCTTTTATCTTTCGGTAGCTCATATTGCTAAATGAGGCAACAACCCATATCCCATATCTCCATACGATGTGTGTCCACATGCATGTATGTCTGTCCATGGGATAAACGGGGGCTACAGGCTGAGATGGACAGGTCACAGGCCAACCCGGCCTATTTAACATCCTTACTGTGGCCTTAATGCATAGAAATAGTGCATAATATTTACAAAAATACTTATGAGAAGCAACATGTTATTATATAGCAGATGTGGGTCTGATTGTGTGCAAAATATTCTATTACCTCTAGCATCCTCTTCCAAGAAAACAATGACCTGAAAACAGATTTCTATCACTAATCTATCACTAACATATAATAGAGTGCTTCTAGTTGATGTCCAAGATGGATCTTAGTGATGCAATTTATGCAAATGAAAGCACTTAGCATGATGATGATTCTTTCTAAACTTATAAACTAAATGCCCAACACCATAAATTACATCCAATGCTTCCATGTTAGTTTGCCAATGATGCTAACGACATTTTAACTAGTTCATCTGACTGGACGACTGCAGGAAAGATCAGGTTCTCTAAGTTAATTAGTTTTGACTTTTAGTTATACTTTTGATGCGAAACGGGGGAGAGGGTCTATCGGAATCAGCGATCTAAATCGAACAACGCACCGTTTCGCCAAAATTCATGATCTTAGGCAGGAAATTTAATCTAAAAACAATTAATGTGACAGATGGGTTTTAATAAGATTTGCATCGACAATTATGAACAATTCCAATCTCGATCAATTTAATTGCAATATTCATTATCATTGCACAAGTTTTACAATCAATATCAAGTTTTAACAATCACATGTTCAATTACTCTCAACTCACAATTATACTTTAAACAATGAATATATGATAATAGTTTAGAGGTAATATACTCATGCAATTAACTAACAAAATGAGATTGACAGAAAAATAAAGAGGAACGAAAGAAAACGAAATCTTCGTCGGTCTGAACAAACTCGACGTGAGAGACCTTTGAAGGTGGTGCGACGACAACGGTGAACTGAACGACGATGATGAGGCGGAGATCCGATGATGACGAGTGCGACGGTGTTGAACTGATGACGACGCGGCGACGGGATGAGGGCGGTGCGATGTCCCATGGGTAGTCGTCGGGTCGATGCAGGTGGCGGGCGTCGGGACAAGGCTGGCAGCGGCGTCAAGACGAAATAAACGACGGCTCGAAGAGTGGAGGAGGACGGAGGGAAATCAACGACTGTTGAGGTGGTTCTGACGACTTACGGAGGCGGGAACAACGACTGCTCGAAGGTAACGAGAGCAGGGATAGATCGGTAGCTTGTGGAAGAGAAGGGGTGGGGGCAGCGAGGCTGTGAGATGAACAAATGAACGGGAGAAGATAAAGGTTTGACAGCTAGAAGAAGAGGAACATGTATTGGCCTAGGGTTTCACACCCGAAGCCTAGGTTTCACACCCAAATTAAGCCAACTCAAATTTTATTTTAATTTTTAATAATTCATTGATTTTCAACAGTCTCATACAGCCTTATTTATAAAAAAAAACTATGTGCACACAACGTGTAATAAAAATAGAAACAAACAACAATCCCACAAATCACTCAACTAAAATTAAACTAAATTTCAAAATTTAAAATTCAAATTTCAAATTTTAAATTTTAAAATTTTAAATTTCAAATTTCAAATTTTAAATTTCAAAATTTCAAATTTTAAATTTTAAATTTCAAAATTCAAAATTCAAAATTTAAAAATATATCAACTAATCAAATATTACCATTTTTTGTCCACATTAACTTTACTCTAGCCTATTAAGCAGCAATTTGTCAGACCAACTTACAAAGAAGAAATCATAGAAATTACAAAGTAGATGTAACAAAATGGACATGTTGAGCAAAATGTAATCGTAAAAACTAATTTATGCTGATATGAATATTGTCAGTTCTTCATTGGAGTCGTTCAAAATAAATTTCTAATTTAAGTGAGAAAGTTTTAGATGATGCTGTTTCTCCCAAGAATCTTAAGCTGATAATCTTAGTGCATATTATGCACGAATCAACAAGTAGGCTTAAGCTAATTGGTCATGCAACTTCAGATCTCTTGGAAAACCCCTATCAAAAAGGAGACTTGATTAGTATTTGAGAACAAATTAGGACATCATAAATATTTAATTTATCAAATACTAATGTTTATCCCTAGGATCCTAAAACAATTATGGTGCCATTTTAGATAAGAACTTCAACCAAAAACTATTGAAAGGTTATAGCCAATATTGTATATCGAGTAACTTTTCCTGAGAAAGGCAAATCAATAAACACAAAGGAAAAATGAATTATAAATAGTCACTGTTATAAATAGCGGTAAATAGCCCCGCAATAGCGGCGCTAATAGCGTTAGCGCTCCCTTCCCGCGACGCTATCGCTCGCTACGCTATCACGCAATAGCGGTGACATATTGCAGAATATGTTTGTTCGCAAAAACCGCCAATAGTGTGTCATAACGGTAAATAGTGAGCGATTGCATTTGAAATTTGCTTTTTGACTGCTATTTAAAAACAGTTTGAGGCTTATTTTTTTAAAATTAAACTCAACCATTGACCATTGCATTCTACCGTCTCCTGTGATTTTCAGCATACTCCTGCCACCTCTCATAGCCTCTGGCACCTACCTTGATACTTCCTCTCACCTTCTTCACTGTGAGCTCCTCTTAGGGCAGTCCTGTCACCGCTACGCTCTTCTTCTCGAAGACGATGATTTTTTGACTTCTCCAGTCATCTTCGGTATTACGTGATGGTTACATGTCTATTTCATGTTTAGGATCTTTTTTGACTTCTCCAGTCATCTTCGGTATTACGTGATGGTTACATGTCTATTTCATGTTTAGGATCTCTTTAAATCATCACGTGATGGTTACATGTCTATTTCATGTTTAGGATCTCTTTAAATCATCCAATATGTACTTTTAGATTTCATAGATTTTTCTTAATTTTTTTAGTATTTATACATATCTAAATTAGACCGTTATTTGACTTTGCATTTTTTACCGTTATTTTGCCGTAATAGCCCGAAATAGCCTTAGTGATGTCTCACCGCTACGCGACGCTATCCGCTATCGATAACCTTGTAAATAGTTTATTTGAAGCAATTTATGAGGCTAGTCATTCATCTAATATTTGTGGCCTCGTAGTTCTTGGCTAATCAAGATGCAGCTATTCAATTACAATATATTTTAGGTTTTTAAGATATTTGTCTCCCAAAACTCAGATATTTTGAGATAAGTTCCCCAAAACATGTTATTTTGATATAAGTTCCTTACAAGTTTTAAGTTACCCAAAATTTATCCTTATAGTTAACCTCTGTTTACTCGACACATTCAATCACTAATAATACTGTTAATTTTCCCAGATTGCCTGTTATACCATATTCTTCCTCAATGAGCCTAAAATGCTGTCTCCAAAGGTCGCCCCTCTGTAAGTCCTCAATCTTTCTCTCAAAATTCTTTGATTCCAAGCAGTTCCTTCTGAAAATCTTTATTATTCATCTTATTTCGCATAAATGTGAATGTTATGCAATGTCAAGCCTAGTAAGTGCTTATGAAATTTTCTGCATCAGCATACAACCCACTGCATTCCAGGTATTTACATCACTTAAAAACTTCATTTTATAATGAAAACCAATAATCCAAGCACTTCATAATCTTCAACAAAAAAACCAACCAATTTCAACAAAGAAACACCAAGTGTTGACATAGAGACAGGCGGGCATGTTGTGGGCGAGCAATATGGTGCAATGATTTTGTGTTGGGGAGGGGGGTTGTTTAGTTATTTCGGCAGAGGATTTGAGTAATTTGGGGGTAGGAGTTGAGAGAGACACATCCCGATATAAGTTCTGTTTTCTCTCTTTTCCTCCACAATGGCCCATTGAACTCAAGTAAGGGGTGATTAATGAGCCCTTAACTACACCTAGATTAAAAAATGAACAGAATCTTCTAACATGTACTAATTTGGTGTAACTTAAAATATTTGGGGGACTTATCTCAAAATAAAATGTTTTGGGGGACCAAGGACCTATCTCAAAATACTTGACTTTTGGGGGCAAGTATCTTAAAACATGTTTGGTACAAATTGATTATAATCTAAGTTGATTTTTAATCTAGAGTGTTTGGAAAATTGATTATAATTCATTTTCAATTATAGAGTGTTTGGCAAATTGGTGAATTATAATCCGTCATTGTCGTCAAAATGATCAAAAGAAGACACGTGGCTGATGGTGTTACTAAATGAGGCGTTGGATTTTGTGAAATCATCGGGTATGATTGTCTTTTACTTGGTTGAGCCTCATAACTTATAATTCACCAAAAAGTGAGCTAGGGTACACCATAGCTTATTTCTTCGGTGGATTGTGAGCCAAAATCAGCCACTTGCTAAACATCTCAATGTAGCTTATAAGTCACTTTGACCATTTGCCAAACATGCGCTAAAAACACGATATTTTTAGCATTTGGATTTTGTCTACATGATGCAGATGTTTTGATCAAATTTGTTTTTCAAACAATCAGATTATAGATTTTGATACATGCTTGAAATGAGACGTTTTTTTTGAATTGTTGTTCCCTTCTGTTAATTTTTACAGTTCATAGCTAATCTCAATATTTTCTTTGGTGGATGTTTACATCTTATGGAACATTTTGTCATATTCTTACTGGTAATTGTCCGTTAAGATAAATATCTCCTTGCACTTCTCCTATCATCAATACTATTTTAAATATTTATCTAGAAGAAAAGAGATATCAAACGTGATGCATGTCTCTCTAGCATGTTTGCGCCTTAGATATGAAAATAATTGCATGTAGTAAGTCATCTCTTCTTAATTCTTTATTTATACTCTCTCAGGAAAATTGGAAGGTGGTTGCTTCTTACTTGGTTGTGTGAGCTAAAATTGCATAACTGTTAAAAAATAGATTTACCTGCCCGTTAAATTGTTTGTTAAGATTTTATGGCATAATGGTCTCTTGATTATAGTTTCCTTAGCTAGGAATTTAGGCACATGTAGGTTGTCAATTGAGATTTCTTTCTGTTATCTTTTAACCAGAATCAACAAATATTATTCAAGAATAAGCAAGCCCTATCTTTTGATATGGTATACTGTGGGTGGGTGGATGCATTGACGTGTATGGGTGTTTGAGTGTGTGTCAATGTTCAAGCAAGGGTTTATCTGAAACTGCACACCAGATACAACAAAAATTTGCATTGTACAATGTAAGTAGATTTTGATGTTACAAGTTTATTGATTTTGCTTGTTAATGTTCCTATCCAACTCAACTTAATAGTAACAGCAAATGATTTTGAATATTCTCTTTGCGTGTGACCCAATGATGTTGTATATCCGCTGTTACTATTGTCCCAGTATATCTCTCGGTTGATTTTTTCTTTTTATGGCATCTCCTTAAGTGACAATAAATCAATGTGTTTCATCTGCCAAGCAAGTGTCGATTATATTTGTGTATGGCGATTGGTGGGTAGATATTTTCCCATATATAAGTGATGGTCTTAAGTTTCAGGAAATTTCAAAGTTTTCATAAATTAGATTCGTCTCATTATAGATTTGAAACTCCCTTGAAAATCTTAAAAAATGTTTAAAAAAGCAAAAGCTAAAGGCGAAGTATTGGTCCTTTATAAAGCTGAGGCATGGAACCTACACTGGTAAAAAACAAAGCATTCTAGATGGAATTTTCCGTTTAGAATAGCCAGATTTCCATCTAAATTGATCATCCTAGACGGAATTTCGTCTAGGATGTTGGTCTAGTAAGTTTTCGTTGAGAATGCGCCATTCTAAACGGAATTTTATCTAAAAAAACTATCCTGAACGGTGGACGGAACAAAATACCGTTTAGAATAGTTCTAGACGGAAAAGACAACCGTCTAGGATAATCCTAGACGGAAATTCCGTCTAAGATATATCCTAGACGGAAATTCCGTCTAGGATGTAGTAATTATTTTAAAAATATATATAATAAATAATATTTGCTCTTATACGACCACACTAATCCACTTGATTATCAACAGTATCTACCTACGAACACCAATACAATTCTCCTCAACAATAATACAAATTGTAAAACTTTACAAAAAATGAGTATATTATTGAATGTCACGAAATTGAAAGTACAAGTATTAGTGTAATTCTCCTAACAATTAGAAAAAAGATAGCATACAATTTAATGTTCGCCAACATTGAAATAAAAAAAATCAGTACAATAACAAAAATTGTAAATCATTATAAAAAATGAGTACAATTTCATGACTTCTTTGCATCTTCTCAAGAATCTCTGCCACTAGTTGAAACTCTCTACGAGCTCGTCATATTCTCATTCTTGATTGTCCAAGATGAAGCCTACATGAAAGTTGCACTTTGCATCATATACTATATACATATCTTAAATTTTTAGTAAATGAGAAGTTAACATATCACGATGCCAAACAACAATTTAATTACACAACTTCAAACCATATGACCATGTAAGAAAGAATAAAGTTGGTGCATGCATGAAGATTAAGTAAATGGATTTGGTTGATGATAAACTAGTAAGCACTTCCGCCAAGTAACTTCTCATAAGGAGAAAATTTTAACTTCACATAATAAAATATAGATACCTTAAAAGTTATTGTTTCCAAACTATAAGTGTATTATTCATAACTTCAAAATCCATAGACGTACCACTTAATAATCATGCCTAAAGCTAATTCCACAATAATCTCCCTATTATCACTATAATTGAATCTAATTTCTTTTCTAACAGCATATAATCAAATAAAAAATATTTGAAATATTGATCATTTACCACTATAATTGAATCTACTGAACTAGCAAAATAAAGGGCATATATCAGACAACCTCTTACCAAGAATACAACAATCATTAAGGAGACAGTCTTCAGAGAAGTGAAAAAGAGAGTTTCTGCAAAGTGAACTAATGCAGGCACCAATACTGAACTTCCAGACAAAACTTTAGTACTTCTCTGCACGCGCACACATGAAAACTACACAACATAATACATAATATAACAAAATGTTAGGAGCATCACTCTTCCAATCTAAGAGGAAAGGTAAACCATGGGAACAAGTTGCTGGCCGCAGCGCCTGATGTTATCACAGTAAATCTTTCCAACCTTGCAATGTAATCAATATCTTCTTTAGAGGGACGGAAATTTGCAATCTGTTAAAAGAGAACATTATCACAATGAAAAAAATCGGCTGACAAGTATAGAATTTTTTAAGCAGTAATGCTTGCAAAGCATGCAATTACATTGTGTAACATGCATCCAAAAGTAAATCCTAGGGCGTTTGCAAGCCAAACTAAATCAATACAAGTTTGCAACATCCTTATTTTCTGTATTTTTCGTTCCCCTTCGTCCACATAAATGTTTAAAGTGCCAGTCAATATATATCCCCAATGTTCCAGCTCATTTATTAGTCAAAATTGCTAAAATGCACTTCCATCTATTTCTAGATTTGCTGATAATGGATGAACAAATCTATCTACAGTAAACATAACTTATTCCTCTTATGTTAAAACACACCACACTGTTGTATATAAGAAAGAAAATTGCTAATAGAAAAGCTGTAGACACAGAAAGAATGGAACACAAACTAATAAGTGAAGCACAGACTAAGGAATTATACAGTGTTCCACTGAGGAATACCTGATCACGAATGTGTGTGCAAGCACAAAATGTCGATCTTTCATGAATATCTGCTAGAATCCTTTGAAGGGTGGGTCTCAACCCTGCAAGTGACTCGCTATGTCTACCAAGCTGCTCCCCTAGAACTTCGATTTTCAGGATGTCAGCAAGTTCACAAAGAGTATCAAGATTTGCTTCATATATCAGTTTAGGGCGTAATATGTCATACAAGTACGTGCATTTGCAAGTTTTGACAGCACATTAAACCAATGTTAACAATCATACAATACAATGGTCAGCACCATTGAAGTCTGTAAAGCTAGCGCCACCACCACCACCCCTCCAATGTTCTCCCCCGTCGGCCACCACCTCCAATGAATATTTGCTAGTATATTTGAGTAAATTCAAAACATAGAAGAAAGGATACCTTAGCAATTAGAGTGGGTAAATCGACACACCCTTCGAGATGCACGTGCACTCTATCTAGTGCATGGAGCTGTTCGTAGCAATGGATCAATGGCACATTGAGATTTTAGCCTTAGCTTCATCTCAAACATTTTCATAGATGCAACTAAACTAAATTGAACTACACTTCTAACAAGCATAATATTGAACATGTGACGGGCAAAGTAGACATGACCAAATTTACAGTAAATACTTGGTGCAGAGGTTACAGGTGAAAAGTATCTGTTTCAAAACCAATGTTAAAAACTATCAGATTTTTTTTTTCAATTTCTATATATATTTTTAGCATGCTCGTAGGAGATGGTGTAATTGCTATTTCAATAC